AAAAAAAAAGCATGATGCTCAAGTTAACACTAGTCGTGGAGGTTCCTCCAACCTTCATGGTTCCAAAAAGTCCATGAGAATTTGAATTTCTGCTCTGCATTCCCCCCTCCTTTTGATCAGGAGGCTTCTATGGAATCTTTGACCAAAGTGTTCAATAATGGTAGCTGGGCACTGTCCAGTTCTGGTCTCATAGCAAAGGAGGTGGTTGTTTATGGAGGCACTGAGCCACACATTCCATATCCTCCTCCTATTTCTGACTCTGCTCTCTTGTTCCAAACAGATCAATTGCTGTGCCTTCGAGGGTTGTTTGCAAGCTTTCAAGACCCCAGACACCATTAAAGGAACGAGAACAGAAGCACGGAACATCTCTTTAGGGCAATTAGCTAGGATGTCCCATGAATCTATAAGTCCTCTGAGAGGTTTGGTTGTGCAGCTGCAGCTACTTTTACCCCCTTTTCCGGTAAATGTATCTATTGGTACAACTTTTGCCAGTTCAACTTTTTGCAGGTGCACAATAGACTGACAGCAATCTCAAGACTCATCCGTGCTTCGTTATTAATCAATGACCACGGTTCAGTTTTACAGCAGGTATCTGGGCTGCAGGTACATGGAGTTCTGTTTTTATGTCTCACCTCCCACTGACTTTTCCGTCCACTGTTTCGGCCCACACCTCTCTCGCTAAGGCCACCAATGGGCACCTGAGGCTCCCACGGCCACTCCTCAGTCTGATCGCTACCCAGTAGCCTTGCACATACCTGCCAACACCTGCCTTCTTAGGACTTTTTTTTTCTTTCTCTCTTTTGGTTTCTGGTGAGTGATCTCATCCACTCCCTGGTTTCGGTTGCCATCTGTATGCCAACAGCTCCCCGTTATCATTGTAGAGCCTCACATCTGGAGATCTGTCCTTCTACTACTTCCTGGATGCCTTTTCCTGAAGGTCTCAAAGACTTGTCAAGGTCTAGACATTCAAAATGGAACCCATCAGCCTCATACCCTCTCTGTGAACTAAATTTGTTATTGTTGTTGTCGTTATGTGCCATCGAGTCGCTTGCGATTCATAACGACCCTATGTACAAGAGCCCTAAACCCTGCTCTATCCTGTGCCAATCTCACCATCTCCGACACACTCACTCCCACGACCCCAATCACAGAATCGATCCATCTTATCGAGGGTCTTCCTCTCCTGCACTGTTCCTCCACTCTCTCAAACATGATGTGCCTCTCCAAGGACCGGTCCCTACTTGCAACATACCCAAAGTATGTCAGATGAAGCCTCAGAATCCTTGACTCCAAGGAGCCCGGCTTCACTATCTCCAGGACAATATTCACCATTATTCAGTCATTGACTTAAGGCCGGTCAGTGACCTAAGGCAGATTAACTTGGGGAGACTCTAGATTCTTCCTTCTCTCTTCTCACGCTCAAGCCCTGATTCACCTGGCTTCCTTACAGCCCCCATCAAACCCTGCCCTCAGCCCCACTGTCCCTGGTCACATTTTTGTGCACTAGGATGACTGCATGGCCTCTCAGGTTGCCTCTCTGCCTCCACCTCCCTCCTGGAATTCCAGCTCTGGGAGAAGCCATTCTAGGGCATAAACGTGACCAGGTACTTCCCTTCCTTGACACCCTTCTCACACTGAGGTCCAAAGTCCTGCATGAGGAATCTGCATGAGATTCCCCACAAGTTCTCCACCGCTGAGCTCAGGAGCCTTTATGGGGAGGGGAGCACTTCCTCTCTCCCTTTGCCGTACAGCCAGTTGGGTGAGAAAAAGGGCACCTGGACCCCTTTTCTCATCCATCACCGGCCCTTTCCCAACATCCAAGTGCTTCTCCACCTGGTTTACCTAGAGCAGGGGTCGCTTCCCCTTCCTCAGAGGTTCCCCTCTATCTCTCTTTACAACCAGAAGACTGCTCAGCTTGAGCTTTGGTGGTGCTCAGATGGCTGCAGGGCCATCAAAAACAATGGCTCTTTTTGTTTTCTCGTGCCAGACAGGAAAGCACCTTGCAGAAAGCGCTCTGAGGGTGAATGAAGGAGGATGAGGCGAGCGCCACTCCAACCACAGACCCCAAAGGCCCCCACAAAGCCTCCCTCTGCGCCAGGGCGAGCGAGCTCTCTTGTCTGTCTTTCTCAAAGGTGCTTGGACCGCAAGGGCCCAGATCATCTGCGGGGCACCACCACGTTCACTTTACAACTTCACCTCTAGGTTACTGACCTGCCCCCTGTCTACACTCTGCCATCGCGAGAGGAGAGGAGCGTGTGGCCCAGGGAGGCGCAGAGGGGGCGCTCAGCAGGGAGGCGCAGGTCTGTCGAGGGGGGATGCCCAGGACAAGGAGACGCCAGCAACTGCAAAAAACACAAAAGGATTTTATTGAAAAATAACAAGTAGCCCGTTTGGGGGAGGGAGGAGGAGGGGCTGCCGATCTCAGCCCATCAACGGCTTTGGGGGCAGCAGCCCGACCGGCTGGGCGAGTATCCTCGAGCCCCAGAGGGGCGTGGTTTCAATGTCTGTGCAGGTGGCTCCCGGGCCCCCCGCGGTCTCGCTCCAGGAGTGGCAGAATGGCGGCTGCGGAAGGGCCGGAACCTTCCAGTCCACCGGGGCTGCAGGGCGTGTCGAGGGGGGGGGGGGGCTGGTCTCCCGAGCAAGGCTGTATCCAGGCCTGGGTGGGCGCTCCAGCTAGTGAGGGACGGGGGTCTCCCACTGTGCCCCCCTCAAACATAGTCCTTGCGGTCGTAGGCGGTGCCGGTGCCGGTGCCCGGCCCGGCGGAGCGCGGCGCGGAGTAGAGGATCTTGGCGGGCGCGTACTTCTTCTCGCGCGGCGGGCAGGAGCAGCAGAGCAGCGCGCCCCCGAGGAGCTGTAGCGCCGCCGCCGCCCAGCCCACGTACAGGCCCGCGCCCATCTCCCGCTTCTGCGACTCGGGCACCATGGGGTTGTAGAAGTCCCGGATGATGGTGTTGGCCGACCAGGACACGGGCACGAGGGTGAGCAAGGCGGCCAGCAGGAAGAGCACGCCCGCCACGATGGTGATCTTGGCCTTGGCGGTGTCGTCCTGCACGCAGTTAGTGCACTGGGCGCCCACAAGCGCCACGAGGAGCCCGAAGGCGGCCAGCAGGATGGCGACGACCAGGAGCGCGCGGGCCGCCTGCAGGTCCTGCGGCAGCGCCAGCAGCGAGTCGTACACCTTGCACTGCATCTGGCCGGTGCTCTGCACCACGCAGTTCATCCACAGGCCCTCCCAGGTGATCTGCGCCGTGATGATGCTGTTCCCGATGAAGGCCGTCACGCGCCACATGGGCAGCGCGCAGCACACGATGGTCCCCAGCCAGCCCAGCACGGCCAGCGAGGTGCCGGTGATCTCCAGGCCCATGGACATGGCTGCGGCGCCAAAGCCGGGGCCGCCTGGCGGTTCCGGATGCCGACAACAAGGGGCCGGGGAACTGTGGCAGGTTCCCCGACGGAGGTACGGTCGGCCGGACGCACGGACGGCGCGCACTAACGGCTCGGCTCGGCACGCTGGCGCCGCGGCGGCGCGGGCACCTGTCTCGTCTGTGGCTTTGTGGGCGGGCGGCAGAGACTGGGCTGGCCCAGAGCTGGGGCCGCTGCGTCTTAGCCGATGCCCAGCACTCCGCGGGGCGGGAGGGGCGGAGCCGCGCTCAGGGGCTGGGGACAGTGACGTGGCTCCCACCCTCTTCACCTTTCTGGGAGTGGCGCACGTTGTGGGGGTAGGGGAGTTCTCCGAGGCGGTGGGGCCTGTCTCCCATCCCCCACCCTTTGCACACCCGGGTCCCGGTCCTCCAGTTCAGGAACGAAATCTAGGCGGGACGCTGTAAGAGAATGGATTCACAGATTTTGGAGTCCAAACCACAATTTTTTTTTTTCCCCAAACCACAATTTGATTTACCTCCCCTCCTTCCTGGTGCCGTTCATACGCACAGCGCAGGGACCCCAGGACCCTGGAAGAGAAGGGCCCCAAGTGGGCGTGGCTGTGCCTGGAGTTGGCGGTGGCTTGGAGCCGGGCGCTGCACACCTGCTCCTCTGTCCCTCTGTCCTGCTGGCCGGATTCGCCACCACTTTATAGCCAGCCGTCTGCAGTCTGACGCAGACCCGCGGAGTTGGCCGCTCTGGGAGGTTGTACCCCTGAGCCCCAGGGCTGAATTCGGAACTTTCTCCAGACCGCTCCAGTCCCTTCCTTCAGCCTGGATCCCTTAAGATGAGGGGCCCTTCTTCCAGGTCCCTCTCCTAGATCCCTATCCCCTTCCAGAGCCGGAGTCCTCCCTCCCTCTGAGCCTCGGCCAGTGCTAGGGTCCACCTTAATGAAACGGTGCTGAAGGAGGTTTGATCCAGGCTCAAGTGGGAAGTTGGAACACTGCCTGCAGTGAATGTCCTGTTCTCACAACCTGGGCTGACTGGCTCAGAGAGCCCGGCGGTGACCCTGCAGACTGAGTGGGGGCTCAGTCCTCATAATGACCCTGACGTTTCTCTGCCGATCTCCCCTTTCTTATCGCCCCTCTAATATCCTGCCTCCCCCTCCCTCCAATGCTCTGGCTCCAGTGCTCTGTATTCCCCCACTTTGGGGGTGGTGTCTGTTAGCTCTTCCCTTTGCATGGACACGCCATCCCCAGATACCTGTATGGCCCACTCCTTCCCGTCTTTCATGTTATTCTCTCAATCAGACCTTCCCTGCCCATCCTATTTAATCGCAGCTCCGCTCCCCACATTTCAAATGTTTTCGAATTGGCAGTGTTGGCCAAGAGTGATGAATATACCGTGGACTGCAGAAAGAACAAACAAGCCTGTCTTGGAGAAAGTGCAACCCGGGTGTTCCTTAGACTCGAGGATGGTGAAACCAGCTCACATACTTTGAGCATGTTGTCAGGAGAGGCTAGTTCTTAGGAAAAGCCATCATGCTGCGAAAGGTGGAGGGTCAGAGAAGGAGAAGGTCTTAAACAAGACGAATTGACATAGTGATTACAACAGTGGGCTGGAGCCGTGAAGGAGGTTGTGAGGATGGCTCCGGAGAGGGCACAGGTGCGATCTGATGTTCCTAGGATCCCTGTGAGTTGGAGTCAACACCATGGCACCTAACAACACCTTCACCCACAATACCCTGTCCCTGTTTTGTACATGATCATTGTTCAGCTTTTATCACTAGCTGACCTACTCTGTATTTTCCTTTTTAAACCAACACAGCTGTCTCTCGCTGCTTTGCAGCTTTGCAGCGTGAGCTCCCTGAGGGCACGGATTTTGCTGGTTGTCTGCACTCCCCTGTGCCTCTTCTTGAGTGCTTTCCCCAGCTCTGCCTGCTGAGGCTTCCTACTGGAATAGTAGCTGCCAGTGAGTTACCAGGGGGGCTCCCTGAACCCGGGGGTCCTAATCTGCTGGGAGCTAAGGGATGTTCTGCGTGAGATGTGGGACCTGGAGCTGGGTGGAGAGGTTTTTCTGGTTTGCCCCTTATCTTTCACATCACAGACAGGCAGCCTCTTTCACTAGTGCCCCAGCCCTGAGGTGATAGAAGTGTAAGGTACACAGGGCAGAGGCCATGGAAACTGGGCTCTTACTTTTTATAGGGGCAAAGGTTTAGCGTTTAGTGTTGGGGCTGGGCGGGGCAGGGTTGGGAGTTCTGGGTCAGAGGGCCCAGTTGATGCTGGATGGACGCTGCCCCAGGGGAAGTTTTGGTAGCCCACAGCTGTTGGCTCTTAGTTACCTGGTGGCCTTGGTGGGGTGGCTTGGGGCTGGCAAAGAGTCACATCCCTATGAAGTGTGGCCAGACTTAGGACCCAAGAGTGGGCCCCCCAAGTGCCCTGGTTGTAGCTGCTTTGAGTGAGTTCTTTGAGACTGTAGATTGTCCGTGCTCTTAACTGCAGTTTCCTCCTCTGTAAAATGAGGAAAATGACCTTTACATAACCCACCTCCCAACACTGTGGGAAGACTAGAAAACCACAAGGGCTAGGCAGGTGGCACCAGTGGAGGAAGTGGGGTCACTGATTGATGGACACACTGACTTACTTGGATTTGAAGCCTGGCTTTGCTCTCAGTTTCCTTGCCTGTGAGGTGGGGTGTTCTGGATTGCTTGGGTTGGGGAGGGGGGTGGCCCAGTCAGGCAGAGAACAGTGGAATTACTGGGCTGGGCTGTGTACAAGCAAGCCAGTGTTTCATGCCCTGGGGCCAAACTTCAGGGACTTGCAAATAAGACTTTGGCTCAGGGCAAACAGCTTTTAGCTCAATATTCACCAAGTATCGTGACAACTCAGTAATAAAAAGACAAATTTGTTCTTTACCCTCCATCCAGTTAATACTGCAGGGATTCTGAGGCTGTAAATCTTCATGGTACCTGACAGCCTCATCTTTCTGCTGCTGAACAGCTGGTGGGTTTGCATCACCAACCTTGAGGTTTGCAGCCAAGCATTTTAGCTACTACACCACCAGGGTTGATGTCAAATCAGTTCGGACTCTTGGCGACTTTGATGTGCAGTGTAGAACAACTCCATGGGACTTTCAAGGCTGTGACTTTTTCAAAGCAGACAACCCAAGTCTGTCTTCCCAGGGTCCTCTGGGTGGGTTTGAACTGCCCACTTTTTGATGCTTGTAAAAAACGGCCTCTCCTATCTTCAAAAGGGGGATGAGGAATCACTACCAGCATTAGTAGCACAAAGCTGATTCTGTGGGGTCAGGCAGGCCCCCACCATCCAACCTTCTTCACCAAAGATAACACTATTACTCCCATGACACTCTTCTGGGTTTGATAATTAGTTGCAGTGGCCACACAGAGCTCACAGTCAATACTCACAGGCACAAGGCTTCTTAGAGAAGTAATTGGTTTACAAGGCAGGCTCAGAAACAACTCAAGATAGTTTTTCAGTCAGGATGGTCTCCTTTCAACCATGCCCAAAGACGGACCTTTCTCTGGTTTTGGGACCCTCGGTCCCTTGGCCTGCACCTTGCTCAGGCATGTAATATAAAACTCTTTAGCTCTACTGATTAAGTGCTCAGAGCACTCTACTCTGCTAGCAAGCTTAAGTCAAAAGGCACTTGGTTCTAGCTCAGTGGGTCGGCAAACTTAGCTCTCCTGGCAAGGACCTGGAGACATCTCATGCCTGCAAGGGTCCCTAGATCCTTGAGCCAGGAGACCTGTCTCTCTCTGTCTTGTTCTGGCCTCTGGTTCTTTTGCTGCCTCTGTTGTCACTGCTTCTCATAATCTTGTCTCTCCTGTCACAGTCTCATGGGTCAGGGTGTTTTAGAATAGAGATCGCAAGTAAAAAATACATGCCTCCTCCTGGTTTTTCCTTCATGATAACTTATGCAATGGCTCATTTTAAAGCCAAAAGACAACATCATGATAGATGGAGAAAGAGTTGAAACTGTCAATTATTTCATCTTACTTGGATCCACAATCAACCCTTTTGGTACTAGCAGTCAGGAGAAAAAGAGACATACTGCTTTGGGCAAGTCCTCTCTTAGGGACCGTTCCAAAGTACTGAAGAGCAATGATGTCAGCTTGAAGACTAAGGTGAACCTGATTCAGGTCATGGTCTTTTCAATAACTTGCTGTACTGCTGAGAGTTGGACAGTGAATAAGGATGACTGACAGAAAATTTATACCTTTGAACAATGGTGTTGGAGAAGAGTACTGAATATCCCGTGGGCTGTTAAAGGAACAGACAGATATGTCTTGGAGAAGGTGCAGCCAGAGTGCGTCTTAGAGGGAAGGATGGTAAAGCTTGGTCTCATATTTTGGACATATTGTTAGGAGTGGTATTCCTTGGACAGGGATATCATGCTTGGCAAGGTGGAGGAACAGCAAAGGATAGAAAGATCCTCAACCAGCTGGACTGACATGGTGACTGTGGCAATGGGCTCAAGTGTTTCAGAGGTGGTGAGGATGGCTCAGAATAGGACAGAGTTCCGATCTTTTGTTCATAGGGTCGCTATGAGTTGTACGAGACTAGGTGTCACTTAACAACAACAAAAACAACCCCACAAGAATGCCATGGGCCTCATTTTCATTTCTAGCAAGCTATTCAATCTCTTTGGTGAACCACAGACACCTCGCATTTGCATTTTCTTCCCAGTCATGTGTGAGAGTTACAAAGACTATCGCTAGGAGTGTCATATGAATGAATTCACTGTATTAGCGTGTTTAAATGTTTGAGTCATTCAAGGATTCCTAAAAGAAAATAGCTCAATTTAAGAATAAATTGATGAATGATCTGAATAGATATTTCTTCCATATAAATTGCCAATAAACATGGGAGAATAGATTCAAGCAGTATTAATAATTAATCAGTATTAATATCATACACAAGTAAAATAGTTCAGGCTGTACTTTTTTTTTTTTTTTTTTAAATTTTGTGTGCGTGTACCATCAAATCAGATCTGACTGGTACAGGAGGATATTGCGCCTCCTTCTCCGGCAGAGCGTCTGGTGGATTCGAACCGTGTTCCTCTGGGATTGCAATGCAGCTTCTTGCCACTAGGCCACCAGAGCTCCCCTAGTTCAGGCTGTACTTAATCCATAGTTGTGGCACTACATTAACAGACCTGCGAGAAATTCCAGCCAGATTCAAGAGGACAACAT